AGAGAGGCTGTGGCGTTTAAATAATGCTAAAGTAGTACTACGAGACCCAAAGAGTACCAGTTGTGTACCACTAACACCAACTTGAGCCATTCATATAAGGCTGGAGGGATCCATACTTTTATGTTTTTACACCACATTCAAACCAAGTTGAATTTTGCTGCAGAAATCAGACTCATCAGACCAGACAACATTTTTCCAATCTTCAATTGTCCAGTTATGGTGACCTCATGAATTGTACCCTCAGTTTCCCATTATTAGCTTACAGGAGTGGTACCTGGTGGGGTCTTCTGCTGCTATAACCCATCTGTTTTAAGGTTCCACATGTTTAGCTTGAACTTCAGCAGGTTGTCTGGACCATGTCTTCACGTCTAAAGCCATTGAGCGATGCAATGTGATTGGCTGGTTACATATTTGAGTTAACAAGAGTTGGAAAAAGTGCACATAACAAGTTGGCTGTTGAATGGACCACTGAAAACCTCATACTGGCTTAGTTAATGCATCTCTTCCTATGCCCTTTTGTGGCTCTGTCCTGGTCAATTCACATACATGAACATTTTAGATTTGTTTTGGGGGTATTTGGGTTTTTTATGCTTTTTGGGGTTATATCACCATATGGGAAAAGTGGTGAAAACAAGTTATAGCAGGTGTGTGTTATTTATCTATATTTTCTTCTCTTTTTTAAATAAAAGCAGCCTGAGATAGTACTGCAGGAGCAGGGGACACCTGTGAGACCAGGATTTCTGAAGCAGCTGGCCAGGTCAGTATGACAGTGCAGTGCCAACACCATCAGTAGAGTTTTTCCTTGAATGCTGCAGGCAGACACAGCAGGGTAACAGTCAGACAGTTAATTGATTTTTTTACACCCAGGGGAGAAACAAGAGCTGATTTGTACGGTCGATCTGCTGATAAAATAAGATGTCAAAGATTACAATGGGTTGGGAAGTCCCACTCTGCAGGAATGCTGTAATTCCTGTGCATGTAAGCACAGAAATTACAGTATTCCTGCGAAATGCCGGCTCACAGTCGCCCGATGTCCTAAGGCATATCAAGGACTGACATGAGCATGTTCTGAACGAGCATGCCAAACCATTTAACAAGTCTTTTCGTGGTGGTAATGAAATACGGTAGCAGCTCTGTGGACTGAGCCCAAGAACCCTGTCTTAATGTTATCAAATGTGCATTTCGTTCACTGCAACAATCTCTAAAAGTCT